GGAGTTCTGGACAAAAATATTGCAAGGGAGAAGCTGAAAGGCTGATTGCTATAAGCCCAGTGACTCTGTGTTATCAAGTCAGAGTTACCACACATTAAAAGATGTCAGTCCGTGTTGCATAACTCAGCATGAGGTGAATTTGTCCTTGTCAGTATTATGGCAACCATCTTCTCCCTCCTCCCAGCGGTGTGATTTAATGGGAAAAATCTTCAAGTCCTTATTCAGCTTTATATCTGAGGTTTAAGGTATCCCTTCTCATTAATCTTTGTAGTCTGTGTGATTTCTTATGGCTACAGACTATTGTGCTTCTTGTAAAAATCATACCTTTGTAATTACAGAGCAGCATTCCTAAGTAGAAGAGATATTTTGTACCATACAAATTATAAAGAACACAGTAATTCAGGGTTAACAAACTATTAAGAAAGAGTTAAGGCTGTTTTGCAGGTGCTTAATGAGTTGGATTTTAGTTTCCACAGCAGATAACCAGAGCTGTGAACAACCTTGACACAAATTGAAAACAGTATCACCAAGTGTTGTGTGGTCCATTGAAGCACCTCCAGTACAACTATTGCTCTGACCCATGCTTGGATCTAGGCAAACATCCATGACAGAAGGTTGTGGTCAGCTCTTCCCTTGCCTGCCTCTGGGTGCCCCATGTCCAAGGCTTAATATCATCACCAAGAAACATGCAACTTTGTGAGAAACACAGCCATATTTGGGGGATCTCCACATTAAACAACTAAAAAGGCTTTTCTGGTGTCTTGATTTATTTGTGTTTGTGCTTTCATGACAGCAGCATGCTCTGCACCTGTTTAATTGGTTTAAATCAAATTTAAACACTAAACAAGCTTAAAGCAGCAGAGCTGTACAGCAGAGTTGTGGTCTTGATTAGAGAATTATAGATGAGGTTACAAAGAAGAAAATAGAATTATAATGTTACATTTCATGTTATACTCTATAATAAAAATCCTCCCTAGCTTTTATGGTATTTTATCTGTCTGGAGGGAGAAAGGGCAAAGAAAGGGATTATGTATCTCTGAGCATCGCTCTCTTCCCATCTTCAAAATAGAAGCCCTTCTGCTTTCCCCATCTTAATGTTTCCAAGCCTACTGCATTACTGAAAAATACTATCCCTCCTAGCTTGAGTGACTTTCTTACAAAGCAGAACATTTCTTACAAGACTTTCTCAATCATGTCCCATAAGCATACCATTTTGTAAGGTCCAGTTACTCCTAGGCAATAATTATAACATAATAATTATTAACAGGATGGATTACAAACTTAGCATTTAGAGTGTTCTTTCTAAATAAACTCCCTTTCCCATCTCCTATTAGTTTGGTATCGCTGCTGCCATAACATCTACCCTGTGGTTTAAGTCCCAGTCCCAGTTTCTTCCATCAACTGCTTGCTTAGCTTAAAGTGGGAGGAAAATGCTTCTAAGATCAGTATGTTCAAACCATTTGAGGAAAGGAATGTGACAATGTGCCAAAGAAATTTTGAGGCATAGCAACTGAGAAAGGTTCCTAGCAAGCAACAATAGTAATGTGTAAAGTGGATTTTTATTCAAGATTTTCTTAGGCAGCCCCTTTCTTATCAAAAGATACCATTTTATGATAAAAATCATTAAACATGTTTAGCAAAACATTTCCACTGGACTCTTAATAAAATGTCTTTTTCCCTGTGAATGTTTTGAGATGAATGTATACCGATGTGCAAAACCATGATTTTATCTTTATAGGAATTTGTTATGAATAGTCTTTGAAAATGTCTCTCAAGCTGCAGGTTTTCCCATTCAATCTGCACTGTTTGTATTTATCCTCTTGCCAGTAGCATCTGCAGCCAAGCCTTTCTGCAAAGTCAAATCACAGCATTTCGAATGAAATGTAAAATCCTTAGTGATGGACCTCTTCAGTAAACTAGATGTAGCAACAAATAAAAATTGATTTATTTTCTTTCAACACAATGGTGACATGCATCTCAATATGAACTCATCCGCCTATCTGGCCTTGCAGTTGTACTCAGTAGCGATAGTCCTACTTGCAAGTGCACTGTGGTGACATTTTGAAATCTTAGCCATATAGCTGGACCCTGTTGGATAAACCCACAACCAATACTAGCCCTAAAAACTCTGAAATTGGTATTTTACTTTAAAAACTAAGGAAGTGAAATCTTCTCCTCTAACTATACAACTAAAAATTAGTTCCCTGTAAAAGCAAATCTGTACTTTGGTTATATGCTGTCATGGTACAAAATCCTTACGATTTAACCCAGAGTGTCCCAGCATTGCAGACTGAGCCTATGTTAAATTACATTTAATGCTTTCAAGTTTGCAAGATAATTAAAAAGATATAAATAAAATATTACAAAATAATTGTTTCATATAGCAGCTCCTACTCTTATTTACTTAATTGCAATAGTGTTAATAATATCCTGTATTGCAGTGGAGGCTGCAGTTAAGGGACTATGTTCCCATTGCACCAGGACTTGACAAAATAAAACAAAAATATGATCCTCTCAACAAAGGCATTGTCAACGCATCAGTGAAAGTGATTAGTTAAGATAGGTGTCTATTTTGTAGTTCTTGAGCTGTGTGAGGCTCACAGAAGATGTAAGCATGGTTTAAACATGGGGCTTGCATGCAGTGACATGGCTGGATGATGTTGGCAGGAAGGCCAGTCTGTAACCACCATACCTGGGCAGAGGAGGAAGCCTGACAGCAGAGCCCATTGCAGCCACTTTTTTTGGCTGGACAGTGACATAGCTGCATACTCATCCTGGTCTCATTTGGGGTAGTGAGGTGTCTGGGGATCCTTTCTCCCTGAAGAGATATTTCTCTCCATTAGTACTTGAATTTTGTAGCAGGTTCCCTGTAGCTCTCACAGATCTTTTGCTTGCCATATGTTCTTTGTGCTTTAGGCTTATAAATTGGGTAATATTCACAGAATCACAGAATCATTAAGGTTGGAAAAAACCTTTAAGATCATCAAGTCCAACCAACAACCCAACACCACCATACCCACTAAAATATTCAGAGAATGTAAAGCTCGGGGACTAAAATACTTATTGAATTTATAAAGACATGCAAGCATTTCCACAAGGTTATTCAGGGCAGCTAAATTAGCTCCTTAACAAGGATGGCATTAGTTTATTCCTGACTTTTTGTGTAAGTCCTGTTTATTTCACGTGAGTTTATTCAGCAAGTGGAATAAAACCTGTTTTGAGAGGCTGCTAGGGTCTAGCATACCTGTAGCTTCCAGAAGAAGAAAATGTAGATGTCCAGGTACATCTGCAAGTGGGAAAGCATACATGGTAGTCCATCTAGATCCTGTACTAACAGAATATTGACAAACACTCATGCACCTAGACTATAAGCAACCCTAATATTGATGAAGCACTCTGAAAAGTGAGAGATGGAAAGAAACCTGAGACCATGAATGAAAATAGATTTCTATACCTTTTCTATCTTTTTTGCTTTATCACTGGGTATGTTTTCAGAGGAAGACCTTGCAATTAATTAGCAGACTTCTCTTGCCGAAGCTTGTTTATGATATGATGATTTTTGACATTTCTATTGAAATCATAAATAATATTCAATCTGGAAATCACCAGTTTGTCTAAATGGGGTAAATAGTAATATATGTTGAAAATCAGCTGACATAGCCTAGCTGGTTAATTCACAAAGCTATATATCTGTTATGAATGTACATTTCAACTGTATCAAGCCCGTTTCTTCTCCCTTGCACTGCTCACACGTGCCTGTACACGTATACACACAAAATCTCAGTTACAACTTTCCTCCTGGGATGCATTAAAGTAAATGGAAAGCTGCTTCTTTTTCCAAAGCCTTGCAGTCTGCATTCTTGAGAGAGGCAGAATTAAATGGCGGGGATGGGATAGAAATATGGAAGGGAATAGTATGCATGTGTTTAACCCTAAAGCCTATGTCTGTGAATTCAGATGTTCAATTTAAATTTAAATAGTGAATAATAAATTACACAAATTGTAACACTTCAGACTTGGGTGTGGGCCAGTGGTGTTATATATAAGCAGTGTTGAGCTTCTGGAGGTTCAGCATGCTCATTTGTATTCATCCAGTGCTAACCAGAGAAATAATAGCATTATCACCTAGTTCAATAATCAAATAACGGAAAACCAATCTTTGTGAGTTTTGACTGGAATGGATAGTAGTTTCTTATTGTGTTCATTAGCTGGAATACTAAGCACTCAGATGTGGTGAGTTAATGAGTGATACATTAATAAATTTCTAAATCTGAATACATAAGCATCCTGGTGAAAGTAGAATTAGCTGTTTCAGTCTCTCATTGGATTACCATATCACCTGTAGCTTATGAAATATTTTCTCTTTGCAATGCAATGCTACATTGCACAGAATGTTGACTGGCATGCTACCTAAAGCACTGTTATAGTTCTTGAATATTATTAGTTATGGTGTTTCTCCAGTGGAAATGTATTAGAGGACTATTAGGGGCATATGTTAATTATGTCTGTATTGCTTAGGTTCATTCATTTGATTTTTCATGTGCTACATATTAATAGACTTCTAATAGACATGGCTACATTTTCAGAAGAAATGGGTGTAGTTGTGTGGAGTAAATCTGCAGACAGGTAAGTTATACATGAGGCAATGTATGAAAGCAAAACATGTGCCTGAGGTGAGGCAGTCACCAAATTTGTGCTTTGCCCATCTGTCTGATCTCTCATTAGTTCAGTGTTGCTACACTAAACATGTAGTAGCAACACATTTGTGTATGACTGAATATGATAAATTAGGAACTTAAATGTACCAGCAGCTTACTCTACCTTCTGAAACCTAACATACTGTGTCCAGAAAAACAAAAAGGAGGTAATAAAATCAATGTGTTTGGTTTTTTTTCAGCATGGACAACACTGTAGCATATATTGACATTAAAAGCTTCAACTTTCCAGACATTTTTGAGGGAGCACTGAAACATGTGTCTTTTCCTGTCTGTCCCATTCAGGGAATTACTGGAACGCAGCTTCTTTTGTTACTTCATCATCATACCTTCACTTCTCCACCTTCCAAGGGGAAACTAGCGCAGACATCTCTTTCTATTTCAAAACATCAGCCTCAGATGGGGTGTTTCTTGAGAATCTGGGGAACACTGACTTCATCAAACTGGAGCTGAAATGTAAGTATGAGCTTCCCACCACTCTTCTTGGCACCTGAAGTAGGTTTGTGTCAGATAGTTGATTTCAAGAAATTTTGTATCACTCACTAAAATGTGTAAACTCACTAAATTCTGAAAAAACTTCCAAATCAAGCTGCTTGACATATTCTAAAGTTGCCTAATGTGGGAGGAGCACTTGAAGTATATTTGGATTTTTTATTGAGGGGAGTAATACAAAGAAGGATAGAACTGGTAACATCAGCTATAAAAATGACAGTGACCTGAAAAGATTTTTCAAAATTGCATGGCAGATTTATTTCTTTAAAGTGTGTGTCTTCAGGTGTGTGTGAGTTTCTATTTTATCTCAAGGCTGTTTTGGAAATAGGGGAAAGAAAAAAGAGAGACCATCCAAATCAGCACTGTAAGGAGATGAAGAACTGAAAACTTGAGTATGATATTTAAAAGCCCTAAAAAATCTCATAAAAATAAATCTTTATCAGCATTATCTGTTAATAAAATTGCTGATCTGAAAAAGAGGGCATAATGGTATCAAGAGGCAAGTTAACTTCATTTTTTAAACGATTTTTAATGGCCATGGGGCAAACTTTCCAAGGAAGGTGACAAAATGCTCTGCTCTACCTGATCTCGGCATAGTGAAATTGAAGCAGTTGAATTAGGGGGAAAAATGTTTTATGTCTGCTTTGTTCTCTCTCGACCCAGTTTACCCTGTCATAAACAAGAGTGGTGACAGGCCTGCTGTGCTACGTGTGGCTGTTATTACAGCCTCTCATGGCACATTACAGCAGCAGGGTTACATGAGTGCAGCAAGCTGCCTCCCTGCACTCCAGCACTGGGTAAACTATTTGTGCTTCCTTTTGCTACAGGAGCCATTCGTTGACACCAAGGTCCCAGCTCTAAATACTGATGCACAAAAGTCAATGTCAAAAGTCACTAATGCTGAAGGAGAAGTAATTGTTTGGATATCCCAAATAATGTATTTTTATGCAGATTCAATGTGATTTACATGCACACATCTAATTTTAAAACAAAAAGCCATTTTCGACACTTCCCGAAGTCTAAACACACAAATTAGATTGTGGAAATTTAGAAAACACCAGGAGGCCCCTTTACAATGTAACTAAATTTTCCTTTTGGGTAAAAGTAAAGTGCCAAGTTCCAAGTGGGTGACAGCTTCTTTGTACAAGGAATTTAGTTGATGTTGCTTAATCCCAGTTTTCTGTAATCCGCAACTGGTGCAAATAAAAACAGCTCCTATTGAGTCACAAGGAATAGTCTAATTTGTATTAAGAGCCCTTTAATATGAAGTTGCAGCTATTTCTAATTTCACTTTGAATTTAAGTAGTATTTACAGTCAGCTGAGGTGAATATCTCCAAATGCTTCTTGCTCTTCTAATTTATGGAAGGTGTTCTCAGCCGCCATAGTTATCAGACCAGCCATACTGTTCACTTAGCTAAAAGGTGACACAGTGAAAGAAGGTGACTTGGCAGTAACTATAATTCTTTTGAACTCCACACAGTTTAAATAATAATCACGCTGCAGTGACTCACTGAATAGATGCACCAGTTCAAGAAAGTATGTAGCAGTGTCCCCAGAGTATCATTAAACAGGGATTTAATTTTAAGCCTATGCTTGAGATCCAATGACTTTGCTGTGATTTGGCATATGCATAAATTCAACCTCTGCCTCATGTACCTGAAGCTAAACCTTAGATTACAAATATCCAATGGTAGAAATTGAAATATAATCTGTAAAAACAGTTTATAAGGTCAAACGTACTATTGCTGTTTAAAGTAATAGATAACACTTGATTAAAACTATGCTGAGTGTATTTGCTAAAAGAACAAAGCAGTTCATTATATATAATTGCATTTACTTTACTCTTTCTTTCCTGGAAATTATTCCTTGAAATTTTCAGAGCCCCAGAAAATAGGCCTTTCTGTGACTTGAATATTCTTCCAGTCATAGCTTTAAAAGAGTGGAATACTCTGGTTTTAATAACAAAGTGAAACTCATTCTCTCTTCTGAATTACACATTTATTTAATGAATTTTTTATACAGTTTTCATATTTGTTTGTTTCATTCTAGTCTGCACTTACATTTTGTTAGAATTCATTGAAATGAGAAATAGTTTCAAGATTTCAGAAGTTCCTTACATGACTTACAATAGACCCTGCTGCTTCTTAAAACTTTGCTTCCCCTTTACAGAAGTCCCATAAAACTAATATGTGAATTTGTTTCTTAACAGGAACATAAACTCGAGTCAGTAAGGTAATTACAGGATTACCCCTAAACCCTGAAGAAGGTTTCCTTTGCCAAGCTGCTTTCTAGCTAACCCATCAAATTCTGTCATAGAATGGCTATTTTGTATTAAAGGTTTTTGCATAATGACCATCATCACATATTTACTGCAAGCTGCTGCACTTCAAACAGTGGGTGCATTGCTTTTGTCTGTTCATTGCCTTCTCATACAGGTACAATTCTCATTGGAGAAGAATAAATTACTGCAAAACATTTTCTTGTTTTTTTTACTTTTTACAATTCCAAGAGGTAAATGTTGGCATCAACGTCCTGCCAGCAGACAGTGAAAATTCTCCTTTCTTCTTCCCTTACCTGTGAAATACCTGTGTATACCCGTAATATATGATTAGTGATGCATAAGCTTAGCTCTACAGACCAGGACCTGAAAAGTTCTACAATATCCAGTATTTTACTCAGCTTGCTGCACTTGGTGAATATATTAGAGAAACCACTCATTTGGTCTATAAAACTTCTTAGCTTCAAGTCTTTGGAAAGGAGTTTACGATAGGGTGTTTTACTCTGAGCACAAGAGCTGTCACTAGGAATGCTCATTAAATTATCTTATTGGTGTGCTGTCTTGGAGCTTCTTAAGGTCTAATAACTGCACAGATTATTTTCTAACTCTCTAGATTTATAAGAAAAGGAGGTGGAATCTTGCAGTATCTTGAGGAGTAACTTCACATGTCTTCAGCAAAGAGCCAGATTGCCATCTCTCAGGAGAGGGGGAATACAGGAAGGAAGGGAAGAACATGTTTCTCTGATTTAAGAAATCTTTTCCAAACAGCTGACAAGGAAGACTGTCATGAAAAAAACAGTAATAAAATGCTACTATGAATGTGGCAGAAGTCTTTGGTTATTCCATTTATCAAGCAGCTCCTCCTGCAGGCTCGTATTTGTCACCATTCATGGAACAGCTGGCAGAGATGTAGGATTACCCGAAGCCTCAGTTTTTACATATATCAGTAAATCAACAGAACCCCATTATTGGTATAGCTGGCTGGTCAGCTGAGAACAACTAGGATTGCTTAGAAAGGAAGTAGCTGGATAAGGTATAAATTTTTCTGTAAAGCAGTGGTTCCAGAGACCATACATTTCTGGTCAAAATTTCCAGACATTTTTTAAATTAAAACCGGGTTTTAGAGAGACAAAAAAAAAAAAATGGATGTTTTCTCTTTTATAGCTTTCCTATACAGTTTTGGGAGGGTTCAACCTAAAATCAAGTCTTTCTATAAAAACACCATTGAGAACATAGTTTTTTCCTTTATACAAGTCCCTTCCTCCCCTTGCCATGGGCATTTTTTGCCTTCTTTAACCTTGACCTGCCTTTTAGGACCCAGAGTTATGTAAGCTGCTGCCTAGAAAGCCTGCCAGGCAACAGTCTCAGGACAGCTCCTTGTCAGTGCCTTTCATATAAGCAATCCACCAAAAAGTTTGAATGTCACTTCAGGGAATTTTTTGGCATCTTTCTCGGAGCCCCTCATTTGCTCCCCTAGTGTGTACCTGAAAGCATCTATGAAATTTCGTGTCCACTCACCATATAACTATACTGTGTACATGCAGTAGAGCTGACACTTGCTCTGAAAGGTGATAAGGAGTTGCCTATAGTATGCAATACCCCTGTGAACTGAAATAAGCTCTGTGGCCCATCAGATACACACATCTGCCATAAGAGACCCACCTACTGCTTCTAACCAGTATAGCTGGCCATTGTCCTAATTCACCTTTTGCCTTTGCCTCTGTCCCCTTGTTACAGAGGTCAGGGGCAGGCCTAGCACATATGAAACAGAAATGAAACAGATGAAACAGCAGCCTGTATGTCAGCCAACAGTAACATGGATCCTCCAGGTCTTCACCAGCAAACATAGTGTTCTTTTTTTTTAAGCACTTCAAGGCTGAATGTTGCCAAATGAAACATGCCAAGAATTTAATTTCAAATTCTTGAAGACTCTCAGCTCCCCTCCCCATTCAGTTCTTCCTTGCAGTCACTCCTCCCCAGAAATGGTACATTTGCATAACAGAGCCTGGCTGGAGTCTCCTGGCATTGAGGTGCAGGAAAATAGGTCTCCAGGATCCTAACTTGAAACTCTGCTGCAGACAGGGCACTACTTAAAATCCAGCTGAATATCAATATATCTGAATAGGGTCAAATGAGCAAGAGTACGGTTTTGTACATTTATAGGGTCTGGGTTGAATACTTCGGAGAGTTATGACTATGAAAACCCAACTACTTCACACCTGTGAAGTGTTTGTCAATCTTCTGATCAAGAGGAATCCCAAGTTTTGGCATTTTGTATTTCTGAAAGCAAATTTTGGAAGCGGCATATTCCTGAGAATTTGGGAAGATGCGTCTACCATCATTGTTTTCTCTCAGATTCCCAAGACTGTTGCTCTAGAAAGCCTGTGGTGAATTAAACTGTTTCCAAAAAATTCTTTTGATGACACTGTCATATATTTGTAATGAAAAAGATACCCTGCTCACTTCTGTAGCTCCTCTTATCTGAGCAGCTCCAAGCAATTTACAGACACTAATGAATTGTGTCTCACTATTGTTATTCTGAAGTAAGTAAACAGCAAGTCAGTTTTGCAACAGAAAAAAAGATGAGGCTTAGAGAGATAAAGGTCAGCTTGTGTTTGATCCTGGCATGAACATTTAGGAGAGGAAGGAGCTTTCTTATTAATTTTCTGTAAAAAGCTAGAAATA